AATGCCTTCTTGTAAGGTGATAATTCAGCGTTCACTCGAACATAGAAATTAGTAAGTTCGTTCATTCTCGGTGAATTCGAATGGAAACGAAAAAAAGAGAAATCCGTATAATAACTCGGGCACTATTCCACTAATACTGCTCCAAAATCCCAAAGTTTTAATTTTCGTCGAAACTTTGCCTATAGAGGTAACTCGGTGCTGTGATTATGAATATGACATTCAATTTTAATGCTGGCGCCATTTGGTACCACTTGGTGCCACTTTGTCGCCACGAAATGCGGGTTTTCAAACAAATTCGATGTAAAGCATTTGTTTTTTTTTTTTTTTTTTTTTTTTTGTGGAACTTGTAACATAGGGGTTATTTGCTCCTGATTTACGAACATGGCAATTCGATTTGGAGTTGGCGACTATATTAACGCTCGATTTTTCTAGTCTCATCCTCTGGGCTCTGCTCAGCTTATACAATTGTGCTTAAGACTAAGCTTATTGGAGGAGGAGGACTCCGAGGTGGGTAAACCACGTGCAGCATGTGACAAAAGTTGAAGTGTGTGATAGGGTGAGTGGCTCACTCACCTCTGAGCCCTCCTTTCCCCAAGGGCTTAGTCCTGATAGTGATCAACCCAGTGCGAGGGCGCAGACGAGCAGAAAATGGGCGCCAAATGGCGCAAGCCTCAAAAATAAATGTCATAAAAGTAATCAGGACACCAAATAAAAAAAAAAAAAAAAAAAAAAAAAAAAAAAAAAACAACATTCGTAATACAGGAAACTAAATAGGGCCCTATTGCACAAGTTTACAATACAGAAGTTTCGTGAGAACAGCTGTCACAAGGTGGCGGCCAAGTGGCATCCAAAATGGCGCTCAGCATTCAAAAAAATGAATGCCAATATTTGGTTATCAAAGTTACCCTAATATGCAATAGCTTCGACGAAAGATAAATTTTGAGATTTGACCAGTGGAATAAGTTGCCAAACTAGCTATTCTGGCACAGCTCATACTGTCTGTTCAGTTTAATTTGGAGAACTTTTCCTTAAAGGACGAATTCACGCTGGAAAGGCAACCCATTTCAAATTAAGTTAGCGATGGTGAGTGGTACACTAAAGAAGGAAAAACCATGCGAAACGGCCAGAACCTGAGAAATGGGACCACTTCCTTGCCCGTTGATTTGAGCATTGATGCGACTATCATCGCTGTGCCCTCTTCAACGCTACGCTCTCTCACCTATCTAATCACTCACCACGTATAGACCTGCGGCGAGTGATCAGATGATCGGTGGGCGTGCACTGACCAGCCGCGGCGGGATTAAACCTTAATAGGTCAACGAGGTCAACTCCTCCTGTGCAAATTGTGCTTCAGTTCGCACACTTAGGAGCTCCGCGGGTCCCTCAACCAGGTGAATTCTTCCTAATTCGATTTTCCCTCTGATCGTGAATTCGTCCTTTAAAGGAAATCCCAAGCAAAAAACCATCCTAACCAAAAAATCGTAACTGAAGATGTGGAGCGCGCGATAGACGGTCGCTAGAGCTTGGGTATTTACAAATTCAGCCACTTGGCGATAATCTCCAGCCAAATGGCACCATTACGTCGCGTAACACGACCTTGACACGTCAGTGTGATAATGGCGTGCGGGTAACCGCAAATAGCGCGCGATGTCGGCCGGTGAAGAGTCCTTAAACACGCACAGTTCGCGGAAAAAATTGCGTCTCTGGAAACAGCACTTGATGCACCCATTGGGCTCATATTACGAAGACATGTTTTCTAGCGGTATATGGGACTGGTCATCGGCTCGGTGTTTTGCCCTTTGCTTTGTGGTCTTAGACCTCCATTTCTAGATCAGATGAACGGCGCATGCCAACATCGACTTGAAATGTGTTATCTCTCACACAAAAAACATATTTACTAGAAGGAGAGCGGTACAAGGTACGCACGAATTGCAACCATCCACGCGAGTGTGGATGCGCGCTTTGGTGAGAGAGAGTGAGTGAGCGTGTGATGAGAGAGCGGAGGTTAGTTTGTCAATGGTGGGCGCGGACCTGACCAATATTGCGCGTGGAGGTTTGCAGTACGAGAGAAAAAGCAAAGAAAACCGACGATGAAGCCCATACCAAAACATTTCTTCAGTCAATATGAGAAGGGCGCGGTCCAAGACCAAGTTTTGCAGTGCTTAATATTTTTGCAGTGCTTATGCTCAAAAGATAACTACTGAATAGTAAGAGAAAGTTTGTTTTCATTTAGAGCCAGTAGTAAAGGAGCTGGGCAACGATCAACTGCTGATTGAATCGTTCAAGAGGTAGCCTTCTTTCTTTGGTATAATACTTGTTGACGGTGGCTGCCTTATGGACGAACATCTGATGCCGGTTTACTTTCAGGCGGTTACGGCATTGTGAATGTGAAAGGATATCGTGGAATTCCAGGTACCGAAAACAGTCTTCAATATGCCAAGCAATTTGTTGACCGGGATTTTTAACTGTAAAACTCGAGAGATTATTTCTAGAGCCCAATTCAGGCCTTATGCATACTGGCCGTTCACTTGTAAAGAAATAGGCAGAGATGGAAGTAGATATGTAGCTGCAATGGCTAACAAAGGACGAAAATGCACTAAAAAGGAAGGGCTTGAGACCCATTCTCGTTGTATTTCTTTTTTTAGACAGCGAAGGATATACCTGGAGTATCCAGAACAACCAAATCTACAGAAATGGTGTTTTATTGCCCGACAATAGTGGTGAGTTGCTTATTGTCCCAACACTGATTTGCTAGCTGAAGCTGAACTTGCTTGTGCATTCTGCATATATGTTCAGTCAAGTGAAGGCTCAAAATACGATTTTCAATATATTTCAAGCTTCCTCAGTGTTTTCGAGCTACTCTCTCAATTTGCTAATTTGATTACTCGGTGCATGAGACAGCGTCTCTGGTTCTTTCTACGGACACGGCTTCTGATTTTCTTCTGCACATCGCGTGTAGGACAAGTCGAGCCACAGTCATAGCCACAGAAATCTTTGACCGGGCACTCATCATTTCTGCTCAGAATTCTGGTCTCTGATACATGGTTTGAAGGCACATACTACAATAGCAGAATCGGCTTGGATATGGGGTCATTTATGAAACAGAGGTGCTGCTTAATTTGGTGGTGAAGGAAAAGAGGGTATCGAAAACGACCTGAATGAGGCCCTGCTTCTCCATTAGAGAGTCTGGGAGACTGTCTAAAAGACACTTGGCAGCGAGGGAACGACACAAGAATACCGTAAAATATTGCCTACGCAAAAGACAAATGCCGTAACCGCGAAGTGCGTGGTTTCTTAGGGTGGCAGTACCAAATCGTGAGCCTCTAGGGCCTTTTCAATAGACTTCAAACGTGACCCTGTATTGGTTGTCAGCAACCTTATTTACAGAAAGGCTTGATCCAGGGATCTACCCAGGGGTGTGCCTTAATGCAGCGAACGGCGCAAATAAAAGGAGTGTGTAAAGAATGGTGGTTTTTCCTATAGTTGACCTACGCAGGATAATTTTGGGAGTCTTGGATGTAGAGTTCTTCCGTATTTACCCTATAGTAGTGATCTCGTGTCAAGAGATGCCCACCCGTTTCTCGCTCCTGAGAAAAAAATCTCCTAAATACCATGGAGTTCTTTTGCTAGTGATACATAACCAAACC